GAACAAAAAACACAAACCAGTATAACAGTCGATTTTGCCACCGTATCACACCCATATATATGTGTTGATGAAAAATTGATAAATAACCGGAAAACAACATTACAACAAATGTAATGTAATTGCATAAAGAATAAACAAGTAGTGGATGAGCAAATATATCAAGTTGATTTTATAGCGTCACGATTACGTAACACAATATAATGGAACTCTCAATGCCGCACACACATGTGCCTAGCATAGCGATAAGAACATTTTGCTACTAAAACCAAAAATGAAATGTTTGGCATACCATGTATCAAAGAACAACAAGATACATATACTGCAAATAACACACATACGATTAACGCGAGCATAGTATGCAAGAAATAAGTAAAGAAAAGTAAATAAATCACGTGCTTGCATAACAAGAACAAACTTATATAAATGTGAAAGAATTAATACATGAAGTCATTATAAGCATATAGATTAAGAACACATAATGATTATAATTAAAAAAAATTGGAAATGAATATTCATGGTTTTATCATTTGAGAAAATATGAAGCATTTTTGGAAATGAACAATTATCATGCATTAAGGAAAATCTTACATTCAAGGAGAAATTGAAACAATATTACCTCACTCTTGATGGAACAGAAGTTACACTCACATGTTGTAAAATACTCAAACAAAGAGTTAAAATGAAATTATAGAGTGCATAAAACAATATAAGATTAAGAAACATTGAAGACATCAATGATCCCGAAATTTCCATGTATGTTGATAAAAGGTTTGGTTGCAAGAGGTTAAGTAAAAATATCGGCAAGTTCATTTTTACTATCAACATGATCAAACACAACATCCCATTTTTCAACATGATCGTGAAGGAAGTGGTGACGTATCTCGATATGTTTAGTGAGAGAATGTAGTCTAGGATTTTTGGTTAGATTAATAGCAATATTGTTGTCGCACATGATAAGAATATGCGGAATTTTAATACCAAAATCAAGTAGTTGTTGCTTAAGCCACAAAATTTGGGCACAACAACTATCGGTTGCCACATATTTTGCCTCGACCATTGACAAAGCAATACAAACTTTCTTTTTACTATGCCAACTAACTAAGGATTTTGAAAACATGTGACAAGTTCCACTAGTACTTTTCCTATCCAATTCGCAACAGGAAAATCAGAATCGGAGTAACTAACCAAGCTACAATAGTTTCCCTTGGAATACCAAAGCTCAAAGTTAGATGTACCAATAAGGTATCTAAGAATGTGCTTAACCACTTTTAAGTGCAATTCCTTAGGAATTGATTGATATCATGCACACATACAAACACTAAACATAATATAAGGCCTTGATGTAGTAAGATAAAGAAGAGATCTAATTATACCTCTATACCTTTTGAACTCAACATCCTTACTCTTTTCATCTCTATCCAATTTACATTTTGTTGCCACAGGTCTGTCAATTTCCTTTGCACCGTTCATATTGAATATTTTAAGTAATTTGAGACAATACTTTGTTTAACATACAAATGTTCCTTCATCGAGTTGCTTAATTTGTATTATGAGAAAGTAGATCAACTCTCGCATTAGACTAATTTAAAACTCTCCCTGTATAAGCTTAGAGAAATCCTTGACAATATGCATGTTAGTTGATCAAAAAATGATATCATCAACATAAATTTGAACGAGTAAAATGTGTTTTCCTTCACGTTTAATAAAGAGTGTAGTGTCTACATTCTCTCTAGAGTATCCTTGTTCTTGGAAGAACTTTCTAATTCGGTCATATCGTTCCCTAGAGGATTGTATAAGACCATACAAATCACGTTTTAGTTTAAACACATGATTAGGAAACTGATAATTTTCAAAACTGGGAGGTTGTAAAACATACTCCTCTTCACTTATGTATTCGTTAAGGAACACACTTTTAACGTCCATTTGGTATAATTTGAAGTTATTAGAGTATTCATATGATGATAAAAGCTGTATATCCTCAAGTCGGGAAACCGGAGCATGAGTCTCTTCATAATCAATGTCTTCCTCCTTGTTATACCCATGATCCACAAGAAGGGATTTTTTCTCGTTATCACACCATGTTCATCATATTTATTCCTAAATACCAAAGACTATAACTTGATGATTTTGTGGATGAGGGACAAGGGCCCAAACATCATTTCTTTCAAATTGATTTAATTCTTCTTGACTACCCATAAGTAAATGCTCATCAAGTAAGGCATGCTTAGCATTTTTAGGTTCAGCTTGTGATACATACACATGGTGATAACAAAAATTACTTATCTTAGAGCATGTTGTTACCCCTTTTAATACCCCAAATATGTCCCACCCTTTTATCGAAACATATGGCTTATGCATCTCATAATAATCATGTGCATACCCTCCATTAACATTACGTGTATGCATTAACAATAAGGCTCGATATTTGGAATCAATGGTAATGGGATTAAGGGTCCACTTAGGAATTAGGGTTTCCTCTTTCATATGGTTTGGTTCTAAGTTAAGCTTTTATACTCAAGATTATCTGGTGATTCTACAAATACTTGTATATATATCATCTAAAAATATTCTCATGAATTTTATCTAGCTTCCCTTAACACATGAAATGCTCATTACTGCTTGCAATACAAGTTATCCCAAGATATCGTCCAAGAGACCATGAGCTAGAGCATGGAGATTCTACAAACATCATCTTCTTATGCTTATCGTTATCCATTTATTAAATTTTATTTTCCCAATTAAGTGGTATTCAGTAGGGTTTTTGGTGGATCTTGTTCATCAACCGACATCATCATCTCAAGGCTTCATCCAGGGGGTTTAAAGTGTAAGTTGGAGAAAAGGTCTTGGTATCCGTAGTCAATCAAGGTTTGTTCCTAAGAAGCTCTTCATTATGAAATACAAAGAAGCTTTAATTCAAAAAACGACCTTATTGAATGAGCTACGAATCAAGGTTTTACCAATCCATCATCCACTCGTTAAGGTTTTGAGTATCAGTGTTCAAAGGTAGTGCCTTCAGTTAATAGTTACTTCAAGTGCAAGGAATTGTGGAAAGTGGACCACTAAAGGATGTTAACTTCTGTTACTTAGTCAAATACAATCCATTAATGTTTCCTGGGTTACAAGTAATAGCTTTGGAGTTTAAGCAAGCCTTCAAGCTTGCTCGATGCATACTCCTTACTTCTCAATTGCTTTCATCTTCCTTCGACGATTCACTCGCTTTTGGCTACTCAAAATGGGTTTTACGATGATTAATTCATTGGGGCATCTTATCATCAAAGGCATTATATCATTGGCTTTAGATACAAGATATGTAGAAGAAGTGATACATCTTGCAAATTGAGGGTTTCATTGGACGTTTTCTCATCAAGTTCACTTGTTTCCTTAATCATACGATATACTGAAATGGTTTTCACAAAAGAGGATGCATATGGATCTACTTCAGAAACTAGGGCTTATGGACATAATAATAAAAATCTTTTCATCTAAATACTTGGATTTCCAATAACACAAGTTTTATTTGGATTTCAGTTAAATGGCACAAGCTAAAGGCCTAAAAATATTAGGAAACACTAAGGTTTTAGGAATTAAAGGTCATAGAATCACAAAGTTCATTCAATCATTTGAAGTTTTTAAATCTTGGTGATCCATTCATAAATGTCAAAGGAAGTTTGGTTATTCATGACTTTGACTGATCAATGTCCATGGCGCATCCAGAAGTGAATACAAAATTAGAGACGGGAGAGAAAGCTACTTCAAGTATTTGGAGTTTGTCATTGGAACCAAAAGGTTCTCATTACATCACAAAGTCATCATCATTTCATCAACATCATTACAAAAGCAAAAGAAAGAAAGTAGTGAAAGGGAAATCTACTTTGAATACTTGGAAATTGCCATTATATTATCAATGTTATTTCAAAGGTACACGTACAAGGTCATTTGATGGCACCAAAACCATTACACCAAGTTAGAAAGGGTAATTTCAAGTGTCAACAAAAGCCATTACATCAAATTCTGTCATAACTCCATCACATTACAAATCGATGCTCTTACAAAAGAAATTCCAAGTGAAAACTACATAGAAACATTCATAAACCTAATTACTATTCTTCCATCCTTAATTTATCCGTCATTATTCATGTTTTAAACCTTGTCCTTATCAACCTCTTTGCTTCATTTTCTTCAAGTTACTTTCATGGATCGATGCCTCCGCATGCTTCTGATGACCATGCCAAAAACAACAACTTAAATGCCTGATTGAGCAACTGATGTTTTCCTTGCGTCCAACACAAAACAATCATTAATTAAAACCAAGCCAAGGCATTCAAACCAGTTTCAGTACATTTCAAAGCAATTTAACACAAAAAAATAGTCATCAATTAAAACTGAACTGAATCCCTCACTCACTTAACTAATTCATTCACTCAAATCTGAGCCTGCTAATACTAACTTAATCTGAGCCTAGCTTAAAATCACTCTAACTGAATATACCAGTTCATAACTAACCTCTCTGAACATACTTAACTTCTAACAAACTGTAACTAACCTTTGTTTCAACTAAAAATAACCAATAACCAATTCTTGCTCATCAGCATAACTAACTATTTCAGCTAAACTTCACTAACTATAATAGAAGTTAAATTCTAACAGAACAAAAACCCTCATAGCTGACTTCATCCTCAGCATTCAATCATTTAACAGAAATTCAAATCCAAGGGTTGGAATTAACTTCTCTGTAACAAACTCCAACAAACTATATAAGCCGTTTTCTCTTCAATCTTCATTCATTCACGGTCATTTTACAAATCACCAGAAAAATCTTCACTCTCTTCTCTCTGAGTTTTCTGCACTCTCTCTGCATCCTCAAGGTTTAGCTGTAACTTCCAACATCTTCCGCAAATCTACATTTTGCACCTTCACTGCACCAACTTCTCTCCACAAGTTTCGATCTCTTCACCACTACAACATATTCGCGCATCTCATCGTCTTCTCCAGATCTCCAAATGAAAACCTACAATAATCACTATAGCACACCAATATCCTCATCTTCTTTACAGAACAACAACATGTCATTGCATCTTGAATCTACATCACGAAATCGCACATCACAACAATTGAAGAAGCAAACTTGGGTTCAGCACGGAAAGAATCAAGAAAAGAAGAAGAAGAAGAACAAAAGAGAAGGGAGGAATAATATCAAAGTGGAGGGAGTATCTTACCGGATTTCGAGTATGTCGAAAACCGTGTCTCTTCCAATGTCGAGAGGGGATAAGAGGACATTGTATGTGTTTCGTTTTTATTCCATGGCGGATCAGAAGTAAAGTTGAGGAAGGTATGGAGATGGAGGAAAATCTGAGAGGTGTATTCACGGTGAATACGGCAAATTGAATGTTATGCGTGAGGTGGTGCTGAGACAAGAATCATCGGGGAAAGAGATGAGAGGGTTGATCGACGACAATTTTTGGCTTTAATCGGAGAACAGACTCTTTCACAATCACATAACATCCAAAACCTAATCCTCTTACAATTTTATTTGTTATTCCTATTTTGTTTTTTGTTTTTTATATATTGTATTTTATGTATAATTTAATAATGACTAGAAAATCTGAAAATAGTTGGTGATGGGTCTGGGCTGTATAACATCTCATAAGTCCATTGCAGTTTTTTTGGAGAAGACTGAAGTTTGTGAACAAAAAAGATCTCATTGGGCTGAGCTAGTTTGGGCTTAATGCCTATTTTAGTTACTTGCAATGAACCATTTAATTCAGCCTTGCACCTCCAAATGATTCATTTTCTATACTTATTTCAATTCCATCTTTTATATAATTGTTATGATTGATTTTTAATTGATTATATGATAATTTTGTGGGATCTTGGTGAATAAAAGGAACTTGAATTAGGAGTTTCAAGAGGTTTTGAAATTAATTTAAAGCGTAATTTTCATCAAGGAATTTGAGAAAGCTCTTGGGAGAGTTTTCTTATCGCTTGCTTGGTTTCGAAGAGGCAACATTCCTTCTCTGTTAGGTATCATCATGACCGTATTTTATTCTTCAATGCTGCACTTTATCACATTTCTTCACCTCTTTTCTAGAAATCATGAGAAGTAGAGATTTATTGCTTTCTGATACCATAAGAAGTATGGTAGATATGCATGACGGGGATATCCATTATTGATCATGTCAGGAGCCCCTCTGGTTTATTTAATGACCCGTTTAGGGAAATTCCATATTGTGTGCATTCTGTTTTCTATTTGTGGTTGTTTAAAACCCTACATTTGAGTAGGTATTTTATAGGTGTGTTTATATTTGTGCCTGGATATGTACAGATGATAAGTCCTTAAAAAGAGGAGAGCAGGGAGGGTTCACAATCAAACCCCACAATTTCGTCCATGTCATCCTTATCTCGTGATGCACCAAGATGCTTCAGAGTTGTGCCTGCTCATGCGTATCGAGTCGTAAAATGGGTAAGGGTTCGGCAATCGAACCCTCACTCTTTGTCAGGAGTTCGCATTGGTCGATGTTGATACTCTGTGATTGTTCATATTTCCTTCTGTCGCCTACTTCGACTCCTATATCTTGGTTAGGTGTTCAGTTGCTTTGGACATCACATTTTTGTTTTACATCATACTCCCGCTTGTTTGTCTCGGGTGATATGATCCCCTTGGCTAAAGGATTTCTCTTCTTTTCTTTATTCTTTTATGTGTGTGCTCTTTCGAGCTTGCTTATTTTATCCTTGTACATACCATGTTCCCTTAGGATGTGCTTGCTCCCTTCGGATGCAAGTTAGACCTTAGGTTGCAAACCATGTATGCTAACATTAGGTATAGATTTCCTTTTCATCCTTGACGTAGGGCTATCATTGTATGATAACATTAGGATTAAAAATAGGCTAGTCTCCCATAGACTTTTTTCTTTCCCCTTTTGCATATGCATTCAAAGCTAAAACTTCCTCTTCTCTTAGCAAATAAAACATGCTAATCACACTTAAACCCTTTTTCAAGGTAACAAAATACAAACCAATCAAATGTCGCATCTTGCCTTGAGGGCGTAACTCGGAACCCTTTTCAAGTAAGGAAATGATTGATTTATTCTGTGACAACGCGTGAGTCTCCAAAGGTTGAGTTGCGGCAGAAGGCGGAATTAATATTGTTCATAAAAAACACAAAACAAAAAAAAACATGTGAGCCAAACTACAATAACTCTGATTCCTCAAAAAGGATACATAGAAATTGGGGTAGGGCCTAAGTGAGTACAACTTTAGTTTCCCTACATTCTTTTCTCCTTTCTTTTGCATGCATTATTCCGCAGTTGTAAACAGTAAGCATAGTTTAGACACACCCATAAGATAGATAACAAGAGTGGATATCATAGATTACTACAGGTGTGTGGGGTGCTTATACCTTCCCCTCGTGTAACAGACTCCCTTACCCGATCTCTCAGTCGCAAGACCGTGACTTCTCCCTTCTCAGGTTTTCTAGATTTTTACCTATCCCTTCATGTGGGATAAAAGACGTTCAATGGCGAATTCATTGTGTAATGATTTTCAGTCGGTTATTTTTAACTGGCGACTTCACTGGGGAAAGGACGACCAATTGATGTTCCATCCTAGAGTCTACCCTAGCTCGTGTTTTCTTTTCTTTGCGTGTTTATTTTTTATGCTTTTTGTTTATTCATTCATACATGTTTACTTGAGCATGTGTATGCATTGCATTTTACTTTTTTCCATATACTACCGATGTATTAGATTTGTTTCTTGATTGGGTCGGGATGTTACTATGAGGTAAAAGGCCCAATACCCAGGACAAGTGACAACCATAGAAACCTAGGAATATAGTGGAACATGAACGACTAGTTGACACAGACTTCACTATTTCTTCCATATCGTCCATGCTCAGATGAGGTACAAATGTGGGGCTATCATTTTTACGTAGGTGATACAACGATAGTTTTTCAAGAGTACCCTCGATTCTGAGTTACCCGACCTTACCTTTACCTAGTTTTCACTCGTGAGTGGGGAGGGAATTATTATCACATGTACATTTGGTGAATATGTTCAGATGGTGACTATGTTTAGATGGTGACTATGTTCAGATGGTTACTCAGGTTCAGATGGAGACTATGTTCAGATGGTGACTATTTGTTCTAATGGTTATGTTCTAGATTTCTATTGGTGACCATATGGTTCCCATATTTATTTTCTATGTTCCTGACTTGTTTATTCGGGGGTTCATTCGGGCCTTTAATCTTGGTATTCCCAACATGTTCATAAAAGGATCAACAAAAGGCTCAATAATATACGATGTTCCAGAGGCCTTGATCCCATACAATTGATGATCTACATGGTACTTGGTTCTTGCATGTGGAGAAGCTATGTCGAACCTCTGATCTGGTAATATTCATATGGTTCATAAACAGTGCATCAATCATATTCAGAAGTGATGGAACTTTGACCCCATGTCCTTGCATACATAACATGGTTAACCACATGATTAACATACATGTTCTGTTATTTCTAGGGAATCATATTTGTAAGTCTTGTGCTAAAATTTTCCATCCCTTATCTGCGTAAAATCAAAATTAAAGCACATAAACTCCTTAGAAATGACGGAACATGGCATGGCATCCATTCATGTACCCCATGCATATTCGTACATTCATAACAAGTACTCGAAGATTAGGGATTCTTATTCAGACCTGGTGTTCTCCTCAGAGGTTCAACTTGATTTCTTGCTTCACGTGTTCAGAGATCAGTATGGGATAACTTCGCAGGGGATTGACCGATACGAAGATCCTGAGGGGGTTGATTATGGTATACATACAAGCTTTGGCCTATGGTCGAGAATTCTTCGAGAAGAAAGATAATCGATTGAAGACTCAGATGAGCTAGGACATAGAAGCTCTGATGATGATGTCAGCAATATCACACATATCGCCGCAATATAGGTTCTATTTTCTCCTCATCTTTTGGGGATTGCTTTCAACCATGGTGCTACACAATATTGAGTTCTTGGGACATCTTATCAGCAGATGGTTCCCATGTACTATTGGGTTAGACCCCGTACTTAGGTACCATCTATAAATTCCCTTCCAGATCAAGATACTGACATTAGATGGTTACCATACCGAGGCATTCAACTATTTAATTAGGGGCACTCTCCACATCTTTGCGTTCCCTAATCTATTCGGCAGCAACTAGTCTATGTTCCTCAATTGAGTCCATGGGGAATAGCTTTTAAGCAAAGATAGAAGAAACCTGATAAGCATGTTGATGCAATCCCAATGCATCACATCCAGTTATTTCCTTGCCCGGTGGAATTTCAGTTTATAATTCTCTGATCTTTGGGGTCCTCCTCCCGTAAACATCTCTTCTTATTACGATACACATGCTAGATGTATCCCCTATTCTGGGGCACACAGTTTCTATGTCGAAGATTTTAAAGGGGTTGAAGTATAAAGTCTAGCACTTGTCTAACATATGTTCCAAAAGTCCAATTCCTATTTGGCCAACTACCAGACTCTTTCTCACCAGCTAGATGTCTTTGTTGTGATAAAAGATGAATTGTATTGTTTCTTTTTGATATAAGACGTTTGGTGATGAAGTTTATACCAATTCACATTGGTAAAACATTCATTCATTCTCTTGAAAGAATCTTCTATGCATATTATTCTGGGAACCTGGCCATTCACTTGAAGATGGCATGTCATCCAGAGACAAGGTCCAAGACAGGATCAAACCAGAGACTGTTGTGTTCACATCAGATCATAAGGTGAATTCTCTCTCTTATTCAAGCATCGATACTGCAGAAAGTCGTCAGAACGAAGAAGCCCATATGGAGTCATGTCTCCTCAATGATGGCAATCATTGGTTTCTTTACTGCACTTTCATTTGCATTCTTGATTGTTTATTTAAACATTGCTTGCATGTAGAAACTTGTCTATTTTTAAATGAAAATCTTAACGCAATAAGTATGCTTGTCTTGAAGTGTTCCTTTCATTTTTATTCATACATTATTTATCACTCTTTAAATGTTTTACTTGCATATTGATTCCAAGTTTCCAAGTCTTATGCTTAGGAAGAGATTGGATGGAGAATGACGATAATCTAAAAACGAAAAAAATCTCTGGTTGGTATGCTTTTGAGTAAGACCTTGCTGACGATGTACATGCCTTGATTCAATTCCTAAACACCGGATATATAAGGGAGATACACCCTCGCTAACCCCTCTGAGCCTTCGAAGTAGGAGTTTCCTTTTTGTTCAGAAAAAAACCTTATTTCAACCAGGGGCGGGTAGTGTTCACTTAATCTGATCAAGTGTTCAGAA